AGGAACTTAGTTTTAGGGACTCTTTGAGTCGTACGTCATCCTCTAACGTTAGTTACGGCAGCCCCGCTGCAACATATGAGTGAAATTCTTCCAGAACTTGCCCCACTTCTCTGTCAAGTATGGAATTTTCAGGTCGCGACACTCCTCGAGAATGGTTTGCTTCACACCGCGAATCCCAGAACGTAAAATTTCGCTTCGCCGAATTCCTGTGAATTCGTCGATCGCACCTGGAACCATAGCGATATCAACTTTTCCCTGTGGAATCTTGAGCTTCAGCATTTTTCGCCGTAAACCTTCCTTGAAGTGGAAGAGGCAGCCAATAATTTTTTGCTTTCGGAAATTGATCTTTGATCGCGTTCATAATCACTTGCTCGAAGTCGCATGACACGTGGGCAGAGTTCAGAGCGAAGTCAATACCCGAGCTGGTATGGTACAGGACACAGTTGTACACCTTTGAACTCTTACCCGTAATTAGCGCGTAGCAGCACGAGATGTAGAGATCCGAAATTTCGTCAAAGACCATAACAATGATCAGCTGGTAGAAATTTGCCGGTACGCTCTTGTACGTCGCGTCCACAAACATTGAGCTTTGACGGGACCGGAGCCGGTCCAGAAGGGCTAGATGGCCCCAGCCAATCACATGCTGGAGAGAATCACCTACGTAGTAATTGACGTGAAACTGAAAAAACTTCAAGTCTGGATTTCTGCCGACATTGCAAAGAGGGGCCGTCTTGATTTTCACGAAAACGTCGTTACCGAAATATTTCAGTTTGGTTCGGTAGAACCGGCCCTCAACTTGTTACTTGTAACAACACCTTCATTGGCCTGGTAAAACCGCTGTCGAATAATTTTCCAAACTTGTGCTGGGTCCTAGGTGGGTTGCTGGCGGGCGATTTCATCGATTGCCCCAAGAATTGTTGGTTGCAGTCTTCCGGTGGATTCGGCTACGGCGGAACTGGTGCTGCCTTGTATATCGCGATTGAATTCCGGTTTATGCGAGCCGTCTTGGAAGACGGTTCCGTCTGTGTGTTCGTACAACTTGGCCTTGCGCTGGTGATATTTGGCGTAATAGAAGCCATTATAAACAACCGGTCCATTTGGTGTTGACGCGGTTGCCTCCTCGTCTTGTTTTTCTTCCTCGCCGTCTTCAATCTTCGTATCTTCTTCGCCCATCTTCATTTCTTCGTCGGCCGAAAGTCGTTTGTCTTGGCTGCTGCTGTCGGAGCTCCAAATTTCAGTTTCCACTGAATCTTGAAAAGACTGGAAGTTGAGAATGGTGCTGAAATCCATAGCTTGACAGAGGACAGTACGAAGTGTTGGTGCTGGTTGGTGCATTAAAAAGTGTCATCGTGCGTAGGCATCAAGACGGACATTTAACCTTTAACTATTTTTTTTAAATATGAAAGACATTCTAAGAATATTAATGATAAGAGTTGAGGTTGAGAAGCTACAAATAACTTTTATTGAGTGAGACCCTTCTGTTAGGATATCAAATTTGTAGGAGCAATCCTAAATATAGTTGTTATTATTTATGCCAAGTAGTTATTTAGGGGGAAAATTACATTTCTTTGGCAATTTTTGTTTTT